TTTCTTTCTTTCTTTCTTTCTTTCTTTCTTTCTTTCTTTCTTTCTTTCTTTCTTTCTTTTTTCGGTTTTTCGAGACAGGGTTTCTTTGTGTAGCCCTGGCTGTCCTGGAAGGAACTCACTCTGTAGACCAGGCTGGCCTCGAACTCAGAAATCTGCCTGTCTCTGCCTCCCAAGTGCTGGGATTAAAGGCATGCACCACCACTGCCCAGTTAAGTTTTCATTTCTTACTAAAGAAAGTAACTACTCACTTTCACCTTTTAGGTCTACTATAATTGAGCCTAAAACAGTCCCCAGTCTATCTTACAGCCCTGTCTCCACCATTAAAGATCATCTTGTTAGACAAAATTCTCCTGATGTTTTAGCCCACTGTTTCTGTGTGTGTGTATGTGTGTGTATGTGTGTGTGTGTGTGTGTGTTGTTCTTTTTGTTTCTGTACATATCCTTGCCTGTCTGGGAACTTGCTATGTAGATCAGCTGGGCCTTCAACTCAGAGATCCACCTGCTTCTGCCTCCCTCGTGCTGGGATTAAAGGCGTGAGTCTCCACACCTGGCTTTAAAGATTTATTTTCAGGTGTATGAGTGTTTTGACAGTTGTGACCCATCATGAGAATGCTGGGAACCCAACTAGGACCATTGCCAAGAGCAGCAAGTGCTCTTAACTGCAGAACCATTGCTCCAGCCCTAAATATAAATTTAAATGGAAGTTGAATGTGTCTACCCTTAGGCGCTGGGTAGGGACTTTCTGTTCTGCTCTGATTTCACAAAATAGGCTTAGCTTTATTTATATTTATTTGGCTTTGAGTTTCACTAAGTAGCCCTGGCCAGCCTGGAACTTGCTATCTACACCAGGCTGACCTCGAACTCACAGTGGTATGTTTATCTTTGCCACCCCATGCTGGAAGTATAAAGGCCTGGGTCACTGTGGCTGGCCAGGCTTAGCTTTGGTGATTTATTTTAGAATATCTTGCCCCAGAAACTTGTCTATCACCTCACAAGAGCATTGTGTGTTTTTCTCAAGCCCTCTTCAGGAACACATCCTTTTGTTTTCCATGAAGTCGTAAGAATTTTTCAAATGCCACCTCTTCCTCAAAGAATTCTACCTGACCTCCATCATGTCCTGTATTCCAACTGTTTCCTCCTTATTCTACAGGACTACAGAAAGCAGCCCAAACCACACATGGTCAGCTGTATTCCAATCCTCTGACCATGAGCCCCTATTACTGTAAAAATAGGGCAGAAATAGGTAAGGGGGAACAGTGACCAAGATGAACATTTTAAAATACCAAAATTAATGCATAATCCCACGACTAACAAAATAACATAATTTCAAATAAAGACAGGACTCTTGGCTCTCCTGTTTGAACTGGGGAAATCACCCCACTTCCCCCGTAGGACCTGTGCAGGGCTGCTGGACTAGATAGAATCTACGCTTCCGCAAGAAGGTCCGGGGGCTTCGCAAGCCCAGGCGTGTAGGTGTGCTTTACACAAGCGAGTACACACGCCCCAGGTCTCGCTCTCTTTAAATCGTGGCTCTGGACACAGCAGAATTCAGACCTTGCACTTTGCGCTGGCCCACCAGGTCTCCTAGGGGCCTGGGCAACAGAAGCTCAATCTATGTCATCTGTCAAACTACGCAGGTGGAACAAGCGTAGTCTCTCCCTGGGAAGCTTCAGAGCCATGAGCTACGTCATCATACTCCCCCAAGTCTGCACTGGACCCTTCTGCCCCCGAGGCGACAACAGAAAGCTAACCTAGCCCGCAGACCTCCCAGAGGCAGGGGCGTGGCCGAGAGAAGAGCTGCACCTCTGTGCCACGCCCCTCCAATGCCTTGACCAATAATAGCACTCTCCGAGCTCCGGCCCCGCCCCCACGCCGCCTCCGGCCCACGACCCCGCCCGGGCCGGTCATAATTAGGCAGCGGGCTGGGACTGCCGCGTCAGCGCGCGTAGAGAGCCAATCGCGGGCGATCCCTTGAGGCCGCGTCACAGGCCGAGCAGCCAAACAGAAAAGTTTAATAAACAGCGGACGGAGGGCCGGCGGCGGCGGGCCGGGAGCGAGTGGGGGTTCGGCGGCCTCACCTGTCCTCACTCAGCGGCGGCGAGAGGCGGCGGCGGCAGCGCGTCCGGCGGAGAGGGCCGCCGCCAGGTGAGGAGCGTGGGCAGCGGTGGGCGCAGCCTCCGGGCGGCCTGGGAGCCGGAAGCGGCGGGCGGCGCAGCAGGTGGCCTCGCGGCGGCGAGCGGAGGGCGCGGTCCCGGTGGGGCGCGGTCCCGGGCTCCCGGGGCGCGCGCTGAACTCGGGGTCGGGGTGGGCGCGCCTGGGGCCAGTCCGGAGCAGTTGCCGCAAGCCGGGCTGCGTCCCTACGTCTTTTTCGTAGGCTAAAGCTAGGGAAGGCTCAGATGGAGTCTCCGGGATTCCAAGCTCTGCTCCTCCGAGAGCGTTTTCAAGTTTCTCGCTGTTTGATGCGTAAACAAGCTACACGGAGTGTGGCGTCTGAAGTCAATTTAACTATATCAAAGCTCAGTGATTTGCCATCATCATCTAGAGTTGTCAGGCGTTTGTGGGAACTGGGGCCTCGGGGTCACCTCCAAGCCGTGCATGCTAACTAGCTTGGTAGTCAGCACCTAGTGGCTCCGAAAAACGAAATTAAACGCCACTTTCAAACTATATTCCAAATTTATCTTTTTTCTGATTAAAATGCCACGTAGGCTTTTGAAATTATTTATGAAGTATTTTATGGCAATTGCTGCTTTATGTATTATCTCCAGGCCTGCGGGATAATTTTTTTTTCGGTAAACCATGAACATTTAAATGAAGAAAAGAGGTCTTAATTTTCCTTTTTTTTTTTTAACATTTAAATAGCACGTAAGAGGGGCAATAGGCACAGATAGGAAAATTTTGGGGCTTGATTGCTGTATTATTCTGACTGCAGCCATACTTTCCTGTGTTAATTAATGTCAAAACTTTAAAATCTGTACAGTTTATTAAATATGAATTATATCACAAAGTTTTTAAAGTAATGGTCAATCCCAGGAGAGTACACAGCACAATATACTATAAAAAGAGAAAACATAAAGAAAATTTCAGACTCCTCACTCCAAAGCCAGAACTAGAACATTACCCAAAGTTGTATTGCTCATGAATTCCTTATCTGGCCTAACCCAGTTTACTGTTTCTTACTGAGGTAAACATTCTAGACGTGGTGGATATGATAATTCTCTGACCATTTTAAAATAAGTTTTGTCACACACTCATCTCTTCGAACAGTATCATAATTTTTGGGTTCCTTTCCCTTTAAACTTTGGACAGATAGTATATGGTTGTGGTTCATACATTTTTTAATGCCGAGTTCCTCTCTAAACCCCAGTGTTTTGATAATGTTTCTTGTTTTGCATCTAACAAGTGTACTCTGGGAACCTCTCTTCTTGCAGCTGTTGTTGCACAAGTTGTCTGTCTAAAAGTAAATACTGTAGATCCTGGGAGAAAGTTGTAGGCAATCAATACTAAAATAGAAATTAAAACATTACAATTTTGCTTCCTTTAATCAGGAAGGCTCATTGTTCTTGTAACTGGTTCCTAGTTGCTGTGTTTGCATGAGAAACTTAGATTTCTGTTAATCTCTACCCGGAATCCCTTCGAGCCGGTTGTGGAAAGTCTGGCACTATTTGGTACTTTTCAGGGCAAAACCAGCAAGTGGGAGAAAACATTCTGTGTTTTGTAAAGCTACCCTTTCTGTTCACCACTCCTCCCCTCCCTGCAGTCTTTAGCAGATTACTGAGGAGTCTTCTTTGCCTTAAAATACTCTTGCAAAAGAAACTTGTAGTAAGCTTTCTCTGCCTAGCTGGCACAGGCTTTGTTGGAGGGAGAGTCTGTCAGAGGGCAGATCCTTTAAGGGAAACATTAGGAGCCACGTGTTTCTCTGCCACTTTTGAGAAGGCTATGTGAGTGTAGTATTTCAGGACTTGTCAACCATACATTGAAGTTTTTATGTCCCAGAGTTTGTTCCAGACGAATTACAGAGCAGTATTTCCTTAATTTCCCAAAGATGGTGTGTGTGTGTGTGTGTGTGTGTGTGTGTATTCTTGTACACTTTGAATAACTTGTTTTGTTGAAGGAATAACAGGAGCTTTTTAATTTTTTTAGATAGGGTCTCACTATAAAGCCTAGAACTCTCTACATAGACCATGCTGGCCTAGAACTTACAGAGATTCCCCCAGTCACTGCCTCCAATGATAGGATTAAAGCCCTGTGCCACCATATCTGGCTGAGGGGGCATTTTTGATGTTTAGCTTGCAGATGTTTTGTTTTATAGGGTAGTTGATTCTACTTTTAAAACTTAGTTCTGTATTTTATTATAATCAAAGTGTCAGAGAGTTTGGGGATTTCCCCCACAGTTTAAAGATGAATAGGAACACAAGTACTTCCACAGATAAGCATCGTTAATTAACATTTTGTCAAGCATACCTGTGGTCTTCCTGTGTATTTTGTGTCTCCTGAGCTATTCGTGTTTCTTTAGGATTCAGTCTTGGTACAGATGCTGAGTCAAAGCATATATGAACATTCATTTTAAAGTTATAATCATTTCAAAATTTTTTTCTTAAAAATTTTATCAAAGTGTGTGTGTATGGGTGGGGGTGTAGGTGTGTGTGTGTGTGTGTGTATTTATGCCACTGTAGTCCCAGCTACTCCAAAGACTGAGGCAGGATAGTGTGAGTCTAGGTGTTCTAAGAGTTCTAAATGTGGATAGGCAGGTTCTACTTTCAAAACTCACTCCAAATATAATGTCTCAACTCCTTTGTTTTATAGAAGATGATAACAGTAGTCATCTAATTATTACCCTTCCTTCAGGTTTTGCTCCCTATAGTCTGTGCTGGCTGCTCCAGTGTCTAGAAGATGTTTAAATGTGGTTTTTGTTTTTTGTTTTAATTCCGTGTGTGTGTGTGTGTGTGTGTGTGTGTGTGTGTGTGTGTGTGTGTGAGAGAGAGAGAGAGAGAGAGAGAGAGAGAGAGAGAGAGAGAGAGGGGGGGGGGGGGGGTGATGTGAAATTTGTGCATGTTGAGGTCAGGAAAACTTTGTAAAGTAGTTTCTCCCTTTCTATGTTTACATGGGTTCTTGGGATCAAACTCAGGTCTCAAGCTCGAACTGCAAGAACTTTTACCCACTTAAGCCATCTTGCCAGCCCTTAATGTGTTTCTAGATTATAGTAGTCCTAGGCTCAAAGTCCTTCAGTCACTTTTCGATCCGTGAGATAAAATTCAGACACAGTTTTACTGTGGTTTATATAACCTATACTGGTTGTGCCAATAGAAATGAATGCAAATTCATTTCAGAGCTGTGATCATTTAAATTTTTCTTGTGGCCATAGGACAAGAGAAAGGCAGTGGAATATATTTTTATTCAGCCTGAGATGCGGTACTTTTAATATGTGGGAGATTATTTGTGGGATATTTTGCACTTTTGGAGCTGGTGTGTTCCATCTACCTCCAGTGTGTCCTAGTTCAGACTGGCCATGATTCAGTGTTTATACTTGTAACATCTTTTTTATTGTGCCTTTTATCTATCTAGGATAGCAGTCTTCTGCTCTGTATTGCAAATGTTTTTCCTGGCTCTTCATTTCCCTTGTATTTGCTTACAGGCCTTCCTCGTTTCCTTCATTGGATTTTTAAAATATCTTGGTTAATACTTATCTTTTAAAATTTTATTTTATTTGAAAAGTGTGCTTGTGTGTGTGTGTGCGTGTGTGTGTGTGCGTGCGTACGTGCAGTGAACACTGGTTCCTTGGGGGTCCAGAAATGAGTATTGAACCCCTTGGAGCTGGTGTTATAGTCAAGTTGTAAACTGTATGATTTGGTTGTTGGGATCCAAAATCAAGTCCTCTGAAATGCATTCCTAGCCGTCTCTCCAGCCCATTACTTATATTAAAAGAGATTATTATTGCGTATATGTTGTGGGTGGTCAGTGCATGCATACATGCATGATATAAAACATTTATGGAGGTCAGAATATGACTTTGTGGATCTGGGAGCTCAAACTCAGACTATCAGAATTATACAGTTAGTGTAGCACCTACATTTTTATGACTTTACTCTGCTTTTCTATTAAAGTAGTCTCATTCCTGGATAACTTTCCATTCTTTCCGAGTATCTATTTTTATTATGTTTTTTTGGGGGGAGGTATGTGCATGAGTGTGGGGGTGTCATTGGAGGCCAGAGGCATTGCATTCCTGTGGAGCTGGAGTTACAGGTGGTTATGAGCTGCCCACTGTGGGTGCGTGTGCCGGAAGCTGAACTCAGATCCTCTGTAAGAGCAGTACTGGCTCTTCACCTCTCAGTTCTCTCTCTAGTCCCTCTTTAAAGTTTCATTTTTTTTTTAATCCATATTTCTGTTGTTCTGAGATGTGTTATTTACATAAATGTGAACTGAAATAACTAGATGTTTAACTAGTTACTACAATTTTATTAAAAATATGACTGTGGGGTCAGGCCACAGAAGTCTGGTCACCAGAGTTCATCATCTGTTTCCATGTAAAGGTAGAAGGAAAGAACTAACACTGTAGGGTTGTCCTCTGACTTCCAGACATGCCCTCTGGCACATGCACCCCCAACCCCCACCTCATTGTGGATACTTTTGGATTCCCACATAAACAAAAACTTTAAGTTTAGCAACAAGACCCCACCTCCATGTTTCTCTATAATTAAAACACCTTTATTTACATGCTAAAATGAATGCATACTTGGTTTTGTTTTGTTTATTCAGTACCACTGGTTTGGTTATTAATACTACCTCTTACTCCAAAGACTTGGTTGTTGGGTGTCAGACTCTGGGTCTGACTTAGTGGGCAAATGCTTACTCTGAGCCCTGTTCTTAGAAACTTCCTGTACTTGCATTTTCTCCCTTTCAACACTCTGAGCACCTGATATACAACAGACTGTGTTCAGTGTTGAAAGTACTGCTATGACCAGGATGTGTTCCTTGCTTTCCTGGGTTTGTAAGTATAAGAATGGGAGGCAATTAAAGCAACGGACAGGATGTTTAGATTTTAAAGTGTTTAGAAAGTACTAATCGGTACTAATTGGATACTTTTAACGTGTGTCACTACAGAGGTAATAGTTGATCAGTGTTACCCACCTGGCTTTGGTAGTTGCATA